TATATTCGGTAATGAATTTTTTTCTCGAAAGTGCGTAGGATTTCGAGGGTATGTCTATTCACCAAAAATTATTGTAATTGACCCCTGCAACCAAAAATATTTTTTTTAGAACGATTTGAAAGTTTTTAATTTTGACGGAATTTCAGGGGAATAAATCAGATATTGGTCCGGCATTCTATTTTCGGTGAGGAATTTTTTTCTCGAAAATGCGTAGAATTTCGGGGGTATGCCTATCGACAAAAAATGATTGTAGTTGGCCTCTGCAACCAAAAATATTTTTTTTAGAGCGATTCGAAAAATTTTCTTTCGCCGAAACTTTCACCACCTATTCGAATTTTTTTCTCGAAAGTGCGTAGGATTTCGGGGGTATACCTATCGACCAAAAATGATTGTAGTAGACCCCCGTAGCCGAAAATAATTTTTTCCGTCAATGATTTAAAATTTTTAAATTTAATTTTTTAATAACTTTTTAACGAAGTCTCGGTGGAAAACCTCACAAGGGTGTGATCGAATACCCTGTATAGAAAATTCGTGAGGGTTGAAATACATAAATATCTCTAAATATTGTGAATCTTGATCGCAGTCTTAAAGAGCGGACAAACGTTAAATGGAATTAATATTTAATCGAGTTAAAACGGAATCAAGTCGGAGGGAAATTACTTTCGATTCATGATATTTGTATAGAGGTAAAAGCGAAGCGGAAAGGTAGTCGAGTAACCAAAATTTACGGGAACAAATCGTCGGAGGGAGGTCGCTTCAAAATTCTGGTCCGAGTTCAGCGATGCGGTAATTATACTCATCAACAAAAGTGTCACAAGCAGCACTCGGTTTATTATATGACCGCTTGACGGCTCCGCCCGCCATTATTGTTTTCTGAAGAATTTAATTTAAATTCCGCGCCGTGAAAAGTCACCCGTGCGGGATATAAAATTGTTTTATCTAATAGTTCTTCTTGATCTAGCTTAATTAGTTTCCGTTGTACTGACGCGCAACGAAAGGAACTTTATAATTAATTTGCGTTCGCGTCGCTGCTCTAAATGGAAGACCCACGTTTTGAGGCTCTATCCCGAACCGATACACGCGGACCGCTCAAACGATGCATTTTAACGGCAAGTCGGGAACAGAGAGTCGAAACAAACACTCGATTCGTTGCCTTTGACGACATTAAAGACGTTGAAACGTACTGCTCGCGTCCTGTCTCAATTAAAAACAATTTAATTGCATTTACCCTTTGAAATAAAGTTCGAAATCCAAAGGCATTTGTTCGGCGTCGCGATCGAACGAAATATAAACAAATGGAGGAATATACGACCGCCGCGTTAATAGTTGAAAAACAAACTTTTCCCCGGATGTCTCTCCCCTCATTCTTCATCGAAAACTTTCTCGGATTGCCTCTCCAACTTTAGATTTTACTTCTTCGTCGCGCACTCATCCACATCCCTTAATTTACAGATCCTTCTACCATCAATAATCATTATGTCAACTCCATTCTACCTGACTTCATAGACGCAGAAGTAATTAAAGAGCATTCTACCATTCGGAATCTACCCGTTATAATTCTGAACCTGTCATGCTTCGCTCCTGATATATCCTTCGAGCTTTTAAAACAACTGAGTCGACTTCGTTTCAACTTTTTTCCACCTGTATTATTCCATTGTATCTCTACATTCTGCTTCGAATTCATGTTTAAAACAAAATATATATATATATAACGTATCTAAAAACGAACCATGAAGATCGTTGAATTTCGAACGACCGAAATGGGACAGACGATTTCAAAAATCGCGCTTTTATGCTTCCCTTTCCTTTCGAAATTCGATGCAACCGGCTTTAAAAATTTCTCAAAAGGTCCGTCGGTGTTCCGTGGTTCCAATCGGGCTTCTGGCGAAGCACCGATACCGCGTATCTTTTATTCAAACGTTCGACAGCGCGTCGCGTGTATGCGACTCACGTAAACTTTCGCGTATTGTGTCGCTCGATTTTACAAAGGCACTCGACGTTCTCAATCATAACTTGCTACTGGGCGAAGCACGAGTAGCCGAGGTGTAAATGATACCCCTCTAAATTGGTTTCGCACATATTTTACATCTCGCGCGCAACAAGTTACTATACTAAATCCATTCCAAACGCTTTCTGTGAAGTGCTCTGTCTACTGTGCTATTTCACAGGGTTCCGTACTTGCTGGGTCCACTGTTATTCAACGTATATACGTCGCTGGATATCCTGCCATCTATATGTATATTGACGTCGCTTAAAGCAGCGTCTCTCAAACTTTGTCTTCCAGCGGTTCGCCATTACGCTTCGCCTCCACAAAGATCGAGAATACGAATTTCATCGAATAGTCGATACTGTGCTTTCTCCATAGTTTTCTTTTCACAAATGATCTTTCAACGAGTATTTAAGAAAACATTTTCCAAGCTTGCGAACCCTCGTATTCGATCCCACGCATACTGTCTCTCCAATATTTGAAGATGAATCTCTCGAAGATTCACGAATGGCTGGTTTCTCACGGTCTACACTCGAATCCTCTCAAATCTTCCCTCCCCGCGATCTGTGACTTCCCCTCTCGATAAAAGGAACCCCAAACCCCCGGTTCGAGCTCGATCTTTTTTAAAAACACTTTGTGTCTCGCGGTACTGTCAAACTCCGGAACAGTGAATTCCTAGTTTCAAATACCGTCTCTGCGGAGAGTTAATTCGCCCAGCAACGGGGCGAATCGGATTTCGTGCGCGTTGTTTGGACCCCAGTGCCTAACCAACAGTGTCTCGTCTCGAGTGCGACGCGCACAAAATTCGTGCAACTCGGTTTTCCCTACTCGTAAAATAGGACAGCGTCACCCCACTTTTCATTGAATCAGACTGGCTCCACGCGACACAAAGGTGGATCTTACACATCCGTTATGTCGTGCATGAAGTGCTCCACTCCGACAGGCGCCCTTATCTACGCAACATAATACGCTTCAACCCAAAATTTCGTGCCGTCGGCTCTTTCAGTGCGCCAGCCAAATCCCCCCACTCCCTACATCTTGACTTTCTTGCCACGCCAAATTCTCTGGTCCGGACTCGCGTTACTCGGTCTTACAATCTCTTATCTCGATCGTGTTCCCTCACCTTTCTCTGCTTTCTTTCCTTTGACCAGGCGCCTAAAAACTTCGTACAAGATCCCTTTATTCCAGCCTGGCTTTTAATTACACGCGTCCGTTTCTGCAGGCTGGAATTAATAATAAAGTGGACGACAGCTTTCGTAAACCGTAAGAAATAAATCCAACGATAGTTTCGATTTTTTTATCGAGACGAAGAAACACAAGCAAGACTGTTGAATAAAGAAAAATAGCAACGGATAAGTCACGGTCCGTTTGCCGGAGGTTTCGATGGCGTCGAGCGATCGACTCGAGGGCGTTTCGTTTTTTGAGGGCGTCGAACCCGTCTTTAACCGAGCGTGAAGCCGGCGTCGCGACGCGTCCCGACGTCTAAACATTTCTCGTCCGATTTTTCAATGTTCCGTGCACGAAATGTCGGCCACGTGGCTGGCTGCGGACGAGAACTTACGCCCCCCGTAGACGGTTCCTCCGCGGCTCCGGCGACCGGAACGAATTTCTGCATTTCCACGTAACAGTTTGCGAAAGCACGTACTTGCATAAAGTCGTTGTAACGCGAACGTAAATGCAATACGTGTTTCCGTGGTAAAATGCACGGCGCCTCGACACGTACCGCGGGGCGACGAGCGCCGAAGCGACATCGACTTAAATGAATTTCATCGACAAACTCCGCGGCGGCGTCATCATTTTCTCGCGCAAACTCGTTTTGCTCGGTGGAATATCCCCGGGGTCGTCAGCGCGTGAAAATATCCCGACCCCTTCGCGACCGCGGACGCGCCAAGTGCAACGAAAAACGCCGATAAACAACGGAACGACAAATGCTCGCCGCGGCGAACGATTTACGAGTCGGCGGCGTTGTTAATTTTCGCACGGCGCGCCCGCGCGATTAATACCGGGGCTAATTACGCGCCGGGGCGTCCGAGAGACGCGAAAAAATCGAACGAGGAAGGATTATTCATGAGTCCTTCGCGGGAAACGAGGGAAGAAGGTGCCTCCGTCTGATAAAAATCAGCATTATTGCCGGAAGTGTTCGAACGACGGAATAACGAGTCGCCTGAACCGTGGCTCGAGTGGCCACTTTGCCACGACCGACGACCGATTCGCTTTATCCCCGGCCATGGTTTGTTCCTAGAGCACCCTTTGTTCCGAAATTTCTATAAGCCGTACGCGTCGCGAGCATAAATACGCCCGCGTAACGTCCACCCGGCGCGCGTCCACCCTGTTCATTTACACCGCCGCGAATATTTTCAACGGCGCGAAGAGCCGATTAAATCTTTGGTCACGGAACGAGCACCGTGTTTTCTTCCCGTGCGTATTTCACGGTTTAAAAAATAATTTATTTCGCGCACGATTTTTCGCTGTCAGTTTAACGCCAACGGAGATTAAACGAGCCGCGTGAGTGCGCGCTATTTCCAGCCGAGCGTTAAAATGTGTTTCATACAGGCCGCGCGGAGCGTAACGTTAACCGTCTCGAATACGCTAAAAGGATGAATACGCAACAACGATAAATTATTTCCACCCTATTAACGTAATCGTCTACAGTTCGCGGCGGTAATGGATGGCGGATGGGGTGGGTGGAGGAGGGGGTGGTTTCTCTTTTTTCGGGGAGAACGTATCCATAACTGCGTCATAATTCTTAATTCCGAAGGTGCTCGAAACGGTCCACCGATGAAAAGCTTTTAAACGAGACGTCGATACGTTTAACCCTCTCAAGAAACCACCGAGAATTAATTACATATTTCCCGCGTTCGCGAACTTTCCTCTCGTTCGACGGTGCATTTTTCAAAGGCAACTTCTAACGCTATTTTTCCGGCCCTTTCTCGACGAACATTTCATAATGTCCAGCGCGTCGTATATTTCTCGAACCACGGACAATTTTCAACGAACTGTCAATATGTTGCAGTACCTATGGAGTCGATACAAGGGGTGGCAGGACAGAGGGCGAATTTTCCCTGTAATATACAACCCCGTGAGCCGAACGACGCCGTCTCTATGGTGTTGTGGTTCAAAGAGGGCAGAAGCGAACCGCTCTACAGGTAAGCCAAAACATCGTTATTTACGAGATATTCGCGATATTTTCCACGGATACGTGACAATAATTCTTTTGTTCGCGGAAAATAGTACCGGCTAAGCGTTCCGTAAGTAACGCGGATATTCGCGGTGAAAGAAGATTCGATCTCGAAGGGAACGAGTCCTATCAGACATTTCGATCGGCTTTAAGAGGCTGTGGAAATCTGAATCCTTTCGTTTATTATCCAAAGCGCGGTGGCTACGATCTAAATTCCATCTCGATTTACCACCGGATCGTTCCTCGTAAAGAAAAGTATTTAGGGTTCCGGTTCTTCTATTTAATCACGGTTCCGTTCCCTTCTTAGCTCGAGGCTCTCTTTCTCCTCGCAATACTTAGCCATGTTCAAATATTAGTGTACTCCCGGGAGTGACGAGTGCAGGTCGAATACTTTCCACCCTTCAGAAAGTTCGGCTATCAAGCAACGGGACGCGGTGACCTAGAACGACAAACTTTCCACGTGGAATTCAGATTACGTAATTCGCAATATCGCGGACATCTCATTTCGCTCGGGGAAAATGATATTTAAAAGGCTGTTCTTCCGGCGGAGGGAGAACGGCGCTTTAAGCGTGGAAGCTTTTAGGGCTTCCCACATTTTCCACGACCAACGCGGACTCTCGATCGCGGATTTGCAAGCCATCCGACACACGCGAGTCCGGAAACGGTCCCGCGGGCAAAACTGGGATTTCGTTAAACCGCAAATCGCCTCTACGTTCCTCTGTTCTTTATACGCTCGCTGGTTCCGTCGACGACCGATTCGATCCTCGTAAATATCGCTTTTATGGAGAGTCCCATAAAACCAGGATCAGGACCGATCCAAAAGAACCGCCGTATCTCTTCGGGAACGCGTACCGACGCTGGTCCCACTTCTTATATCCACGCATTCGATCCAAGTCATTGTTTCTGCGACGGTTTTACCGCGAACATCTTCTAAAATGGTTTTATAATCTTCCTACGCGATGAAGAGGGGTGACTTTTATAACTAATCACTGGTAGTTTCTTAGTGAAAAATTCCGTTGTATTCTTGTACTTATCAACACTTTAATCGCCACGTCGTTCGTATAAAAGTGACAGAATTTTTCACCGTGGAATCGAAACAAGACGAATTTTAATTCGCGTAGTTTACCATTGTCTAAAATCAATGCTTCCGTCTTTTCGATGCGACAAACGCCACTATCTAACCAGGATTACACGCGAGGTGGGCGGGTACGAGGACCTCGAGACGGAACAAATCCTAAGCCAATGGTAAACAATTCCGAGTAGCGGGAAATCTCGAACGGCGGCCATTAGGAGCGACCGCGGCGCAGACCTATCCGGTTTCCGGCATTATCGTGTCTCGTAAAAAGTCTTATTTCACGCGGATAGAAACGCATAAAGCAGGCGGAAACTGGGCTCCGTTCCTCTCGCGCGTCGGCGATAAAAACTTTCGAAACGTCTTGCTCGCGGAGGCGCCAGTGATATTCGAGTCGCGGCGGTAGAATTCAATATTAATATTTAATCTGTGCCGCGGATGCCAACGGTGGGGCAGAGAATTTGAGCAGGAAAAATAGAGAGGGGGGAATAAATTTGATCCCGCGCCGCTTCCCCCCCTGGAGTCGGGCGAAAATTCATACGAATTCGCATATCTTACGGGTCGTTGTATTCGCAGGACACGCCGCGGACTATCGAGCTTCCGGCCGTTTCTTCCTTTCGAGACTCGACGAGGCAATAACGTGGCTCGCTTTCTCGACTGGATAACGCACCAGTTCCAACATGGCTGACGATCAATCCCCTTATTAGTCATGCATTGGTACAGCTGCGTATACATGCATGAACGAAGTTATGCATTACGTATGTACGCGATTACGATCCGTGCGACAAATACATACGATCTTTAATTAACACGAACGTGGCCAGAGAAACTGGAGTCTGGATCGTTCGGGAGATTACCAGAAGAAAAACATAAATATCATGGCTGTTCTCCAGTTTCAGTTTTTCGGAAGACTCCCGAGAACCTGTGTTCTTATCCCCCGTACTTTAAGTAATAATAACAAGGGGTAGGCGTGCTCGTGGCCGTAGCCGCGAGGATTTTTCGAGATTTTCGCGAACAGGGAGGAATGAGTTATTTCCCAGGCAACGTCCTTGGCTCGCCTCCTGACAAAACGGACAACGCCGCGCTTATTAAACGCGTGCCAGGATTAAAAAGAAACTGCTTGCGTATTCAGGAATGCGGCCGGGTCCTCCGTTCTGGCCCACGGTCTACCTCTATCCGCGTAAAATATACCGCTGCAATCTGGCAAGTGTTAATTGCTTCTCAGGAGTTGCGAGCACCCGGAAGAAGCCGCGCGGTCGAACAACAAAGACCAAAGTAAAAAAGGAAACGTTCCTCGTGCGTTGCGTCAACGTTATCGCGGGTCGATGGAGACCGGAAATTTTAGCCTCTTTAGGCAAATAATAATTATTTCGTGGCTTCTGTTCGACTACCTATAATTCCAAGGAACGGATTATACCGAAGAATGTTAGTTTTTATCGATAAATGTCACGGAGGTCTTTGATTAGTTTAATAGCACGAATATCAACAAAGTTCCGAGTATTGATTTAATTCCAGCAATATTAAATGATGTAAATTCGCAACGACAAGAATATTAAGGATTATCTTCGATTCTTCGAACCAGAACATTTCCCACGGAGCTCAAATAGAATTTGTCGAATATTTTTGGAAAATGTTTTCGACGAGATTCACGAATCCTACGTCATAGGGAAACCGTTCGACGCGCAAGATGGACAAACGTCCTCGATGCTTTCGTTCCACGTTCAAAGATTCCGTTCCGAACACTCGTCGGGCACAATCGTTCCCATCCACTCGTACGGAGTGTCCTCGATACTACATTTGCTAAGCAAACAATTTGGCTGCGCTTTTCGCCGAAGAAATATGTCGGGAACATGCGAGCGAATTTGTGAATCGGTGCACGGGGCATTCAAGAACCGTCATGTGCGTATGAAAGGCGAAGAGATTGCGCGGACGTATAATACGCTACCAGTCTTTTTCGACGGGGCACACTCGCGGCTGTCGCGGCGCTAACTTGGCAATGTTTTGTTACCAGCCGCGGCAGGATGCACAGGCAACGCTGTTACCATAAACTCTATGAATACTGAACAGCATTTTTATGATTGATACGAACCGTGCGTGAATGCAGTCCACCGGCAATGAATTGCGTGGAGCGGGACGAGTGGAGATGCTAACCAGCAACGTATAACGTTTTTGGCGCAACGACGAATATGTATCGCGGTATGATGCAATGGCCGCCGCGAACAAAGAGCTTTTACGCAGTACGCGTGCTACGCGTAAGTAAATAAAGGACTTTTGTTCGCGCAATGAGAAATGTTCTGATTCAATTTCGTGGTCCCCCCCCTCGCGATCATAAAGGTATTGTTTCGGCGTTCGTACCGGGGAGCTCGTCGAACACAAACACGAACACGAAAACGAACACGCTGTATTTCATATCTGGAGAGTCGATAACAATTTAAAGGTATCTGTAGGGAGAAGAATTTAATACGAATCAACTACCACTCGCTCGTTCGCACCCTGAATCGAACGAGTCGATCCAAGGTCCCGGGGGCCCCGCGAGGAGGTGAGACGAGTGGATTTGGCCAGAATGGGCCCGCCAACTTCATCGAAATTCTCCGTCACCAGGCTACGACCGAAGAAGCAGCTTAGATATAGGAGAACATCAATTAGATCGGGGTTTTCGACCTGTCGGAAGCCAGGAAGTCCCACTCCAGCCTCGTGCCCCCATATCGGTAAACCTAGTGGTAACGTCCAGTGCTGAATAAGTGTGATTCTGGGACGAAATGGACTCGAGGAGCATTATTAGCCGGACAAGTAATAACGGGGAACCGAATCTGGCCCGTGGACCGTAGTTCGGTCGGATATAGACGACGAGCACGAGGAACCCTCGTCGAAGATCAAACGTCATAGCCAGTGTAATCGTACACTCGCTGTCAGACGCATCGACTAACGAGAATGCGCCACTTGGCATTTCCCGCTTAACCGTCCAGGATCGTTGACGCTAACACAAACGCATCTCCCGGGTGCAACCCTTAAACCCCTTAAATGCGCACGCCGTGATATTACGGTGCAATATCGCTATTAATCCCTCCCACGGTTTCCCTTTCTAGACCGCCTCGACGATCGTTCGAGCAACTTCGCTGACGTCTTACTCCTTTTCAGCAACGTTTCACCGCAGACGAGGTACACGAGTAGACCTTTCACCTAATTTTTATGAGGCTCTACAGCCCCATTACCATTACGTTAACAGATTTAGCTTTAATTAGTCAAAGAATCATATGCATTTACATACAACTAGTCTGTTTACCTATCACGCTAATTGAGTGAGTTTCCTCTCAATTTTTAGGTCGGTATGGCAGTAAATTTGGGCCACGAAAGTTCATAAGGAGTAAGGTCTATTCGTATACCCTGTCTGCGGTTTCACGTTTGCTCGTCCGTCGACGCCCCTCGCGCCTCTTCTCTTTGCTGGAAACCCGCACCGCGGCGTTACCTCCATTCTCGTGTTTCCTTTTTTCCTCCATTCCGTTCGTCTGCGCGGAACTTTCTGCTGACCGGACCATTTTCGCTGAACGTCGTACCCTCGCCGTTCTAATCCGATTGAATCTTCGTCCCGGCGAGGAGGGCTGCTCGAAACTCGACTGTTCCGTTCGTACGAGACGGTCGTTTCGATTTTTTAACCGCCACCCCCTTGTCCCGACGAAAGCTTGGAACTTAATAATTAGGGACCATAGCGAGTACATCGTTACGATCGCGTAATCCACCGTGCGCGTGTACGAGCGAGACACGACGAAACGGAGCAAAGATCATCAAACTCACATACAAACTTTAATTGCTTCTCGCGATGAATCGCTGGATTGTGCGGTAAACTTGGCTAGCACCGACGTGCACCTGCGAACTGTTTCCGGCTCCTTCCGTCCGAA